CCTTTATTATAGGATTCCTTTGATGTGGGTGGCAGCGACGTAAACATAAGCTTTCTCCTGCGTTTAATTTTCCATTACTTGTCTCACAACGACATTCGGGCTTTAAATAAAGGCTCTTTCGAAAGATGCCCAGCATACCTTTGAAACATTAGATACATAGGCAGGCAGGCAGACAGATATATAGAGTTGGCTAGATGGGTAGGTGATAGGTAGATAGATAGTGGCTTTTAAAAATTAGGCAGGTAGACAAGCAGACATACAGAGATAGGTAGGTGATAGGTAGATAGACAGTATCTTAAAATTAGGGCGACAATATAGATAGATGGATGGATGGATGGATGGATGGATAGATAGATGGATGGATGGATAGATGGATGGATGGATAGATAGGGCAGACAGACAGATAGATATAGAGATAGATAGATATAGAGATAGATACGGTAGATAGAGAGACAGACAGACATGTACGTACATACATACATACATACATACATACCGATTGATACCGGTCGATACAGATGGATGGAGGAAGGGATGATAGAGATCTGGATTAACTAAGTTGTTAACTTAATTATTAATTTCTAAGTCTGCCCTGCTGATTTTCAAGATTGGCTCCGGCTATTGTTTGGGAATGTCACTTGCTGCGTAGTGGAGAAATTAAAAGATGAATTTCGCCTAGTCATTCGTCTGCTTCTGACTCCTACTTGAACTCCCGTGCTTTGAGTGGCAGAAAAAAAATGGTACATAGAAATATTGTGATCTTCCCAGTAACTCTTAAGTCAGCTTTCATAAATAGTTCTCTACAGATATAGTACATTACTCTTAAATTTCCACAATTCCCAACTGGCACTGCTTTCATGGGCTTATTTGGCTGCCTGAAGTTGACCTATTAAGGAGGGCAGACATCATCGGCTTTTCTCTCCTTTAAAACTATTGAAATTGATGTATGAGGCTTGGTGGAATAATTATTTCACTATAAACTGACTTTAGATATTTGTGCTTTGGAAAGACCTAAAAAGCTGCACTAAATAAATAAATCAAATACTTTAAAAAAAAATCTTCTATACAGGTAGACCTTGACCATAATTGAGCCCAAATTTTCTGTTGCTAAATGATAAAAGTTAAGTGAATTTTACCCCATTTTATGACCTTTCTTGCTACAGTTATTAAGTGAATGACTACAGTTGTTAAGTTAGCCAGCACGGTTGTTAAGGGAATCTGGTTTCCCCCACGGTTGCTTGTCAGGATGGTCACAAAAGGTGATCACATGACCCCAAGACACTGCAGCTGTCATAAACGCGAGTCAGTTGTCAATCATGCGGCCATGGGGATGCTGCAACGGTCTTAAGTGAGAAAAATGTCATTAAGTCACATTTTTCAGTGCCATTGTAACTTCGGACGGTAAATGAACTGTTGTAAGTTGAGGACTACCCGTATTTTGGTATCAGCAATAGCTTTCTAAATGAACAGCTCGCCCTCGGAAGTTGTGGGAGAGCTATCACTTGAGACTTACAAGAAGAGATTGGACAGCCCTCTGTCAGAAATGGTGTAGGGAGGGGGTTGGACTAGATGACCTATAAGATCCCTTCCAACTCTGATGATCTGTTATCTGTTAATATGTAAGGCATCCTGAACCCCCTAGGCAATGTTGGAGTTTAAAAGCAGCAAATTGCTTTCCATTGAACTTATAAAAACTCTGATTCACAAATTGATTAAGGATTAAAACATTTGCAGAAGTTAAAAAAAATAATCACCCAAATACCTTTTCTTGACTCTGCTGCTAATCGTACAGCTTAGCTGAGAAATGTTTAATTCTCTGTTTCACGTTCTGCTAAGATGTTTCTTTTTCTCTCTCTCTTTTTTTTCCTTTCTGAGTTGGATTTCTTTCTTGTAATTTCTGTATTTGCTCAGATGTTTTGGTTTTTTTAAAAAAGTGATTTGACTGTTTTTGGCCCTCGAATGTCAGCATATTTCTCAGGGGGGAAATCCCACTTGCTCAAATCGTGGGTTTCTATTTTAAATTATCTCCACTACTTGGGCTTTATCTTTTTATTTATTACATTTATTTTCCACCCATCTCAATCATAAGGTGACTCTGGGCGGCTTACGATGTTAAAAAGACTAAAACAATTCAACAATATGAAAAAAAATAAGAATAAAGCACTATAAATACTGTGCAGTAGGCCTCCCAGAGTCGCTCTGAAAGAAGATGAGGGGCAAATAAAATAGTCCTCAACTTACAACAGTTTCTTTAGTGAAGACACAGCAGCACTAAAAAAAGCGACTTAGGACCGTTTTTCACACTTAGGACCATGGCTGCATCCCTATGGTCACATGATCAAAATTCAGACGTTTGGTAACTGTCCCGTATTTATGACGGTTGCAATGTCCCTGGGTCATGTGATTCCCCTTTTAAGTCCTTCTGGTGAGCGAAGTCAGTGGGGAAGCCAGATAACACTTTAACAACTGCAGTGATTCACTTAATCAGCGTAGCAAGGAATGTTGTAACATGTGATAAAACTCTTGCTAAAACAACTAACTTGTGTAGCAATATAAAATGAATGAATAAATGAATGAGTGAATGAAAAAATGCAAATCTTTAGCTACAAATGCTTCGTTCTTCACCTCAAGGGTCTTCCCACCAATTGAATGATTCCTTCATCTATTGTGGGATGTCGTGAAGGTCAGTTTTTGTGGTTCCCTTGAAGTTATGTTAGAAAGAGTGGCTACCTGTCAACTCATAAAATATTTCTATGGTCTTTTTAGAGTTTGCCAACAGAAACAGGGGGGAGCAGTAGGCAGCTTGCATTCCATAAATAGTTTTCAAATATAGTTTCTAGGTGACCGAGGTTTCTGCCGGGCAAAATTCTCACTGGAGAGCATAATTGATGACTCTTGGCTATGGATGTGTCCCATTGGAGAATATGAATTACGATATACCCAGGCGGTGGGAGAAAACCAGGGTCAAGGGTGACAGTGAATTATGTGTCTCAGAGTCGGCTACAGGACATGTTTACTCCTAATAAATCTTCTTTTAAGTTTTGGAAGTTCGGCTTGAGACTCATGATTTAAATGGAGGTAACTGCTGGAGCCCTGACACTACCTTTGCTACCACAAATACCCCCCAACCCCCCACCCCTGGAGAAAAAGAAGACATTGCTATTAAACTTGTTCCTTTTATAGGCAAAGCGCTTGTCAACTCTGTCCCTTCAGCATGAAAAAAAAATGATGGACCAGCAGAAAGGCGGCGGCAGGAAGAAAATCAAGATAGTCAGCGGCTGGGTATGTGGCATTTGCATTGGCTGTAAAAGGGTGTATTTCCAATAAGCAGATGAACCCCATTCACACAACCTTTTGACTGTTGTGGAGGAAAGGTGTTTTCCTCCTACAGCCTTTAATCTTCTTTATAGCAGAGGTGTCCAACTGTGGCAGCTTTTAAGACCTGTGGACTTCCACTCCCAGAATCCCCCAGCCAGCCATGGATGGAGAAATTCTAGGGCAAGGGGTCTTCAAACTTGGCAAGTTTAAGACTCGTGGACTTCAACACACAGAATTCCTGAGCTAACATGGACTGGAGGAAGAATTCTGGGAGTTGAAGTCCAACAAGTCTTAAAGCTGTCAAATCTGAAGATCCCTTATTCTAGGGGTTGGATTTTATAGGTCTTAAAATAGAATACCTTTATTGTCGTTGCATTCCACAAATACAATGAAATTTGAAAGCTACTCTAGCACAGTGCCCCAAATACCACATCACAATCACACTACAGAGTATTTAAAAATTAAAATAATTATAATAATAATAATAAAACTAAATCACAAATGCACCGTTTGATTCAAGACAATTACTGCCTTGGAGTAATTGGAGAAACCGTTGCCAAAGTTGGACACCCCTGCTTTATTAGGGTCCCTTCTCTCTATAAGAGCCTGGTTATTACACAATGTTCATTACAGGTGGTCCTTAACTTACAACAGTTCATTTAGTGACTGTTCAAAGTTGCAACGGCATTGAGAAAAGTGACTTAGGACCGTTTTGTTTTTTTTTCACACTCAGGACCGTTGCAGCATCCTCTTGGTCGCATGCCCCAAAATTCAGATGCTTGGCAACCGGCTCATATTTGTGACGGTGTCCCATGGTCATCTGATTCCCCTTTGGAAAAGCGAATGGGGAAGTAAGATTCACTTCACATCCGTGTTACTAACTTAACAACTTGCAGTGATTCACTTAACGACTGTAGCAAGAAAGCTCTTGTGGCAAAACTCACAACTGTCTTACTTAGCCACAGATACGTAGGGCTCAATTGCGATCGTTAAGTCAAGAACTATCTGCATTCCAAAGCTGTTGTGCTCATTTCATCCACTTCCCCTTGCCTGTAGAAAACAATGTACAAACAAGTATGCTGAGTTTTGTTTCCTCTTAAACATGACAATTTCCTAGCTTCCCCCTAAATATTCTCTGCTAGGTTTCTGCATATACTATTTATAGCCTATGTCTTAATACTCCACATGCTTACAAGAGTTTGATTGATCGTCAGCACTAAGTTAAAAAAAAAAAATTCTGCTGCAACCACAATTCTTTGTTGGATTTTTTGAAACAAATTCCTCATCGCCGTCACTCCCTCTACGTTGGCCTGATGAGTTAGGTTTGCGCCACTGTTCATGCTACGCTACAAATAAACATGATGAGCACATGACATAAGTCAGCAGCTGTGTTGGTCTAGTTTAAGGACAATTATTTAGACAACACTGTGATGTGTGCGTTCTGTCTGGAAGGGACAAAACCCCTGGAGCTTTTGTTTTGTACATTGGCGATCCTTTATGATCCTGTGTAGTTCTCGGATGGAGGGTTGCATTGAATCCTCCTGGATTTGTTGCTCCTGCGAGATCAGCAGATAGAAGGCACGGACAGAGGATGCTTTGCTCAGGTTTGGCTGATGGACAAGTTTTGGCCTTTCTTGGGATGAAAGACTACAGATAGTCCTCGTCTTATGGCCACAACTGAATCCAAAATTGAGACAGTTGTTAATGAACTGCACAGCAGCCGTCCAGATGAAGACAGAGACACTAATACAAGCTTGCAGTCTTTTATAGTTTGTATAAATATATTTAGCGTTCAAGTTCACAGCAGTCTTTGTCATCCTCCTGCAAAACACAAGGTGGCACAGGAACTTCAGGAGGCAAGCTAAGCGGTACAGCTCGTCCTCGGCTTACGATCACAACTGGAGCCCAAAATTTCTGTTGTTAAGTGAGGCATTTGGTAAGTGAGTTTTGCCCCGTTTTGCAACCTTTCTTGCCACAGTGAATCACTGCAGTTGGTAAATCTGGTTGTTAAGTGAATTTGGTTTCCTCGCTGACTTTGCTGTTCAGACGGCTGCAAAATGGGATCACATGACCTTGGGACCCAGCAACGGTCATCAATATTTATTTATTTATTGAATTTATATTGCAAACCTATTTGCCCATAGTGACTCGAGGCAGCTTACAGAATGTAAAACCATATTTCAAACAAAACAAAAAAAAGAATAAAAAATAACAAAAAGAATCAAGTAAATTAATAAAGTACAACAGAACAAAATCTGAAATAAATAAATAAATATTTTTTAAAAATCACCCCCCAATTCCCACCCACCCCCTCCCCGACGACAGCAGATCACGCCAGCCATTTGATGGGCTCCATCCCGCTCTGGGTTCCCCAGGCCCACTGGCCGAACCAGGTCTTCAGCGCCTTCCGGAAGAGTATTAGAGAGGGGGGCCGTTCTAATCTCTGGGGGAAGGATGTTCCAGAGAGAGAGGGAGCCACCACGGAGGAGGCCCTTCTTCTGGGTCCCGACAGGTGTATCTCCCTCAGGGGTGGGACCCACAGCATCCCCTGCCTCCTCACTCTAATGGGTCGGGTAGATGTGACCGGCAAGAGATGGTCCCGTCGATATGAACCAGTTGTCAAGCACCTGGGTTTTGATCGCATGATCGTAGGGAATGCTGCAAAGGTCGTAACTCTGAAAAACGGTCATGAGTCTCTTTTCAGTGCCGTTGTAACTTTGAATGAACTGTTGTAAGTCGAGGACTATCTGTATACAGAACACATGGAAGAGGTGAAAAAAGAGAAATTCCCCTTTTATATTGACAGCAACCAATCATAGCGTAGATTGCACCATGCATGTGTCAGCAGTTTCTATTCAACAAATGACTTACAACTGTGTGTTCTGGCCTTGACAGCTGTTGTTAATTGCTATTTTGCCCAATTTTATGAGCTTTCTTGCCACAGTTGTTCAAGTGAATCACATGGTGGTGAACTCCCCATTGATTTGGCTTGTCAGAAAGTCACCATAAGTCATCACGTGACTCCAGGATGTGTCATGCATTGTGGATTGTCATAAACTTGAGTCATGCCAAGTGTCTGAATTTGGATCCTGTGACCAGGGGAATGCTGCAGTGATTTGTTAATATTAAAAATGATTTTAAGTCCCCTTTTTTCCAGTGCCGTTATGACTGCGAATGGTCACTAAACGCACTGTTGCAAGTCAAGGACTACTTGTACAGTGATTCATGCCCCCTCTTTGCCACCCAGAACAGAATACCAGAGTTGGAAGAAACCTCAAAGATCTTCTATTCTAAATCTCTGTTCAAACAGGAGGCCCTAAACCAGTGGTCGCCAACCAATGAGCCGGGGACCACTGGTGTTCCGCGAGAAAATGTTGATGGTCCGCAGAGATACGTCACCCGCAAAGCAATCCCCAAAGCAATTAATCCAGGCTGCGTGGGAACACAAGGCTGCACTGCCCACATGGCCCGCGGGAATGCAAGGGTTGCATTGCAAACAACGCGAGATAGTGAGAGGAGGGGAGAAAGGGCGGAGAGGGGAAACTTGCTCCTGACCTGGCCCCCCCGGGCTGCTTCTTTCTGCTCCTTTCTTCTTCTGCTTTTGGTTGCACGCAAGGAAAGCAGCAAAAGTCTTTCTCTCCCCCAGACTCCTCCAGAAATGAGTCTTTGGGACCCTGCTAGGCCTCCTTCTCTCTCTCTCTCTCTCTCTCTCTCTCTCTCTCTCTCCCTCCCTCCCTCCCTCCCTCCCTCAGAACGGAGCTGGAAACGGTATCCTGCGACCCCAAATAAAGAACGATTTAACAGCTGCAGTGATTCACTTGACTTTCTTGCTTAGCAGCATTGATTTTGGGCTCCATTGTGATCGTAAGTCAAGGACTACCTGTACCTGTATTGTCTCAGGATTTCCCATTAGAAAAGTAAACAGAAACCACACCAGGCCAAAACTGACGGGAGCGAGAGGCTTTTTTCTTGGTGAATTTCAGGAGAATCACAGCTGGCATGATTAGACAAGTTGAATTGAAGGACCAAGAGTTCCTTTCATCTACCCGAACTAATTATATTTACTTTAGCATAGTGTTTCCTAATAATCTTGGCTGTTTGCATCTACAAGAAACTATTTCGGGCCTTAAGGAAAAAGTAACCTCAAGTTACTTTTTTAGATTCATTAAAATGTCTCATCAAAGAAAAAGACCTCAAAACATTTCTCAAATTTCTTGCTTCTTCAAGTCTTAACTACACCATTATTCACAGAACACAGGTGCCTGCAAGAAGATTAAGGATAATATTTACTAGGGCGTAAGAGATAAATTAAGGGCCAGTTTGATCTATTGGCTAATGCACCAGGTTAGAAAGTGGGAGACCATGAATTCTAGTTTCACTTTAGGCAAGAAAGTTGGCCGGGTGACTTTGGGACAATCACCAGGAGACTGGGAGTTCTGGTTCCACCTTAGGCATGAAAGCTGAGGCATGCCTAGTGCTTAGGCATGAAAGCCAACTGAGTCACTTTGAACCAATCACCAGGAGACTGGGAGTTCTAGTCCCACCTTAGGCATGGAA